CTCTCTCTCTCTCTCTCTCTCTCTCTCTCTCTCTCTCTCTCTCTCCCAGCTAAATTGTATTCTGGCCACAAACAATGAAGTTACATATTTTATTAGCCCCAAACACAATTAAAGAAGTCCCAGATTAAATGGTAGATGATTCTCTGCTTCAAATATCTTCATTTAAAAGACCACTTAATGGGTCGATTTAAAGGATTTCTACACCTGTAAGAAAACACATTAACTGTTACTTTCTCATAAAGTTTGTATTCCAAAAAGTTTTTAATGCTTCCTATTTTGTCTCACAGTCCTTTCTAATTTCCGCTGGTATAAATCAATTTCAATTTATTAGCTTCGTTCAAAGGAACTGCAGTAAGTTTTTAATAATAATTATCATTATCACTGATTAAAGTTATATTGTTCTGCCCAGATGGAGTCCTTTTCCTGTCAGCTAGAATGAGCTTGCATTATGTGATTATAATGTGTTTGGATCTAAATAAACAGATGGCAGGGTGACAGGATATTATACACTGCTGATGTCGGTAGCAGTCTGTCACAAACAGAACTGCTTTAAATAAACTGTGGTAGCAAGAATCCTCATATTATATTACGAGAAGTGAGCCTAAGTATGTAAGTTGGAAATAACATGGCTCACTTCCAAGAGGAAACCACTAGGGCTGATGCACACCCGGGGAAGAGGTCTGCTGAACTTGTAGAGTGACTGTGAGAGCAGCGATCCTTGCAGACTCACTGGGGGAGGGTTCTCCAAGTGGCCAGATCTTCTAAGCTCGTCGGGCCAAGTGAAGATGGAAATATTTGGTATAAGTATTTGATGATTTTTACAGTCTGGTTAACTTTGCTAAACACTGAATTCCCAATTGACATAAAAAATCACAGCGGTTTAATAACAAAGTTGTTATAGAAAAACTTTATTGTTAACTAGGTTTCCATATTCATTCTACACAATAAGCCACATGCCAAAATCTAGCCTGAAATTCAGAAACAACCTTCAAAGAAAAGTACTTCACATAATTTCTAGCTAGTGTTTTTATTTTTGAGTCCTTGTGGGAATTTATGGGACAACTGTGCTTGTTGAGGCCAATTTCCATAATCCCCAGTAGATAAGTATGCCACTGTACAGCCGGACATGGTGGCACATGGGTATTATCCCAGCACTCTGGGAGGCAGAGGCAGGAGGATTGCAAATTAGAACCAGTCTAGGCAATTTAGCAAGAACTAGGCTCAAAAATAAGATGTAAAAAATGAGCCAAAACTGGAGCTCAATGTGAAGGCCCTAGTTTTAATCCTCAGTATCACCAAAAAAAAAAAAAAAAAAGAAAAGAAGAGAAAAATAAACAAATATGGCACTGTAGGAATTTAAGGCCGACATTTGAAAATGGATACACTATCAATAACACTTTTGAAGTGTGCATAAACATTTTGGAGCTTTCTAAAATATCTTTAAAAATTAGCTTTTAAGATGTTTTATTTCACCTTTTATTCTGGTGTTTTGCCATGTGTTTAAAAGAATGTATTCTTGTTTTTACAAATTCAACTATTAATTTCATTTTTATCTGTTGCAACCATTAATCTGCAAACTTTAGAAATTATATCTAGTAGAATGGATCAACAGAAAAAACAGTATTCAATAAAATGCAACTTATTTAATATAACTAATTCTAAGTAATTTCAGGAATTCATTTATTTTCTTCTTGCATAAAACGATGAGAGGACTTGAAACACTAACAGACTATGCTTCTGTTTGGCAAATGTAGAGCACTCAGGCTTTGCTACTTAATTGGGCATCTTAGGAGCTATGTCTCAACTCTAGTGTGGCATGAAAATTCCCACGAAGAGCCAGAATATTCTCTTTGAGGAGTGACTTCTTGTCCAAGAGTGACAGATTATTTGTAGATGACCTTTCTGCCCTCATTTTTTCCTCTTCTGCAGGTGGACGCTGCCACAAGTCTTGCACAGGCCGATGCTGGGGACCTACAGAAAATCACTGCCAGACTTGTAAGTGTTCATCAGTGAAAAAGCATAGGTTTGAAATAGTCAAAGATTTTAATAATTGATTCTTTTCATGGTTCTGGTCATGCAACCATGACAATGAGCTTTTGCCTTCTTGTGGTAGATTTGCTTCTGTGGAAAGAAACTGCCTAATGCCATTGCTTTCAAGTGGAATTTAATATATAATTTGATTCTTATGTTTATTTATGGCTTCTAGGTTAATGATTCTACAGCATAACTGAGGGGATACTACAGAAGCTATATGTCTGTATGTATCTGTGACTTCAGAATATATCTGTAAAAGCAGAAAATTGAAATGTGTGCAAAATGAAAACAATTTAACTTCAAGTAAATGAATATTTTACTACTTCTCCCAAGTAGTTATATTATCATTCATTCATGAGAAAAAGAAAAGAAAATCAGTGTACTGTGTCTCTGTTGTATTCCAGGCACTGTTCAAAGCACACAGATATAATCTGTTAATTATGGACATGTATTAACTATTGTTATTAATGAATCTTGCTCTTAGACCATGTTTCTTGGGTTAGTCATTAATTAGTAAAAGTAGAAGACTACTGTTGCTGTAACATTTAATAATAAAATGTACTAAACATAAAGATAAATATCTAATATTTTCAATATTCCTAAATTCATATTATACTCAAATGAACTCTGAACATTCACTAATCTTCAGGACAAACAGGTTCCCTTAAAAATGGAAAACAAAATGCTCTCTACAAATGGTAAATACCCATTGTTCTTGCTATAATACCAACCAGTGAAATGATGTATAAATAACAGTGTGGTGACAATCTCAAATGTAGTCTTTCTTAGAATGGAAGTCAAAAAATATATTGAATATTTTAACATGCAAATATTAGATATTGTGGTAATCTGTTAGAAAGTTGTATGAAAGTTTAGAAGTTTCTAATTTGTCTCAGTTCATAATATTTGTTACATTCTGTTTCAACAAAGAAATACAAAAAGAATTACCTTATTGTAAGCCACCAAAGGAAAAAGTATATGAAAAGATATATTCTCATATTCTCAATGATTTCTTAAGTTTATTTTTAAAATTCCTTTGCATTCTCATATTCAAAATTCATAAAATTTAAGAGAACAAAGTAGCACTCATCTGTGTCCCACATTTGTCCCTCTGCCATCCATAGGGAATATTTACTATTAGCAATTTTCTTTTTTGGTACTGGGGATCGAACTCGGGTCCTTGCACTTGTGTGGTAGGTAGCAGAACCACTGAGCTAAATTCCCAGCCCAATTTTTTAATATCTTTAAGGATAATTTATGCACACTCAATATATGTCCTACCCATTTTCATACAAGTGTTAGCCTGCTTTGCTTATTGCACTCTGATAATCAACTTTCTGTTATTATAATGAAATGTCTGACGTAATTAGCTTATTAGGAGAACAAGGTTATTTTGGCTTATGGTTCTGGAGGCTTCAGTCACTGAGCGGTTAGGCCCTTTGGCTTTGGGTCTGTTGCAAGGCCACACATTATGGCAGGGCACATGTGGCAGAGCAAAACTGTTCACCTCATGGTAGAGAGTGAAAAGGAAGACAAGGCCAGGGTCGCACAACCCCATTTAAGGGCATATCGCCAATGACTCTGCCTCACCCCAGAGTTGTACCACCTCCCAATGACACTGTGGGCAGGAGACCAAGCATTATCAGATGACCCTCTGGGTCATCAACTTGATATTTCATTCCACACATATGTGCATGAATTCTTTGTATATCAGTACTTAAAAATGGCATTTGTAGGGTCCCAACAAATGTATTTGTAATTTGGTAGAGATCATCGACATAGAGAACTCATTCTCTGTAAAGACTGTTAACAGTTACCTCTGCCAGGAGCAATGTGAATGAATGCCTGTCCCCCAATTCTCTTGATAACTCAGCACATTATCAAATTTTTGTGTCCTTGTCAAAAGGTTAGATGAAAAATAGTATCTCAGAGTAGAGTAAATTAACTTATTTAATAGAAACAATGCTTTCTGGCAGGAATGTTTTGACAAGAATTTTAACAGGATTTTGTAGTCAGATTAGACTACTGTTTGAAATTCACTCACTACAATACTTGGAGACAATGTTTTAATAGCAAAGAAGTCAAAACCAAGAAGTGCACAATGCCAGGATGACACTGATGTGGCCATCTGTGAGAGGTTCAGATCTGTAAAACAATTAAGAGACATTGCAGCACTTCGTGATGAAGTGATAAGTAATCATGAAAATCACTGAAGTACATAGAGATCTTGGTTTTTCATGGCAAAAAAACCAAACCAAATCAAAATGAACCAAAACAAAACAACACCTACTGAGTTGTTAATCTTAAGATGAGCTATTGTGAACTGAACTCCTTACCTTATCTTTGTATTTATGTTAAAGAGTGGTCAAAGAGGCTTCCTTTGCAGCCTGCTATTTGTGCTGGACACTCTGGCAGGACTACCCACTTTAGATCCAAGGGAGTGAAGGTGCTGAGATCTGAGAAATGCTACTACAGGGCTGGCTCTCCTTCTTTTGGGTAGGGAGACTTAAGATACCTTGCCCTAGTGTTGTTCCTCAAGTGCTCGCTCCAATACCAGAATGCCCCCCTCCTCTCCCCATTCCAAGTTCTCCTATGGGTGCCTCCGGCATTATTTTCAGTTTTTGGTTAAAGGTAATGGGCAGGGAGAGACCAACCTATGTGATCTGTGCTAGATGAGAATTCCTGTGTAATACTTTCAATACTATTAATAATGAAAATCAAATACAATTAATTTATTTTATAATTTTAATTTTGTCTCATTTCTTTATATATTCATATATATATTTGTAGAATACAAAATACAGAAAAATAATTAGATGATAAAAGTATGGTATATGTTATATGTTTTTGTGTGGGTGGAAATATCTCTGATTGGGACATATGAATACTGTGGGAAGGCAGAATGGAAAGACAACATATATAGGCTTCCCCAGATTTGATCTGAAATTATTTTCCTTCACTTTAACCAGTGCTCAAATAACCGAAACTTTTAATTTCTTTGAACAGATTTGATTATGATGGCCAAAACTTACAAAAGACATAATTTTTCTCAACATCTCTTATTTTTATAATAGAAAACACTCCGGATAATTCCCACACAGACACATGGCTTTTTCTGAGAACTACCTGCTTTCAGAAAGTCTCTCTGTAGTCCTGTGTGCTCTATGTGACACTTTACTCTTGGTCACAAAGCTTGCTTCTTTGCTGTTTTGGTTTTTGAAAGAGGGTCTTGTTATGTAGCTCAGGTTGGCCTTGAACTTACTATGTAGCCCAGGCTGGCCTTGATCTCACAGCAGTCCTCGTGCCTCAGCCTCCCAAATGCTTGGGATTACAGGTGTGCACTGCCAAGCCCAGTGCAAAGCATGTTTCTGAGCCAGAGATGGTTTTTCCTCCCAGAGGACATCTGGTAATATCAGAACATTTCTGGTTGTCATAGTAGGGAGGTGGGAGAACAACTATTGGCACTCGTAGGACAGACTGGGGATACTGCTGAATAACATGCAGTACGCACAGGGCCATGACCACCACTGTCCAAACAAATAAGATTCATTCAGTATGAAATGTTTCAGTAGCCAGGTGCAATGGCGCACACCTGTAATTCCAGCTCTTATGGAGGCTGAGGCAGCCTGGACAACTCAGTGAGATTCTGTCTCAAGGGAAAAATATAAGTTTATAGTCTCAAAGTTGAGAAATTTTAAAACAGGTGCAGGCCTCATAACAAGTGCTGAGCCAGTGAAATTCACTTCCCCAGAGAATTTATATTTGGGATCCAGAGCTACTGGTTCTGCTATCTTAGGAACTTGAAACTGAAGAGGTATTAAATCTAATTGAAGTTTCCATTTTTGGACCACATGTGTTAATAAGAAGCAGAAATAACCAATCTTTAGGAACACTGAAGAAAAATGCAGCTATGCAGAGAATTGGGAAAGAAAAAATTGCTATTCTGATCATTTTTACCTCCTGATTCTCTGGGCTTCATGAGATCCAGATGCATTTCTACCCCAGCTGCCTTGAGAAACAGGATGCCTTCTATGTAGTGAAGTGTAGTGTATTACTCACCACCAAGAAAGGGGGCTTGCTTATGAAAATTATCAATTTATAGTTTATGTATCAAATAACAGTCACAAAGTTACTGAATTCATCTAAGTTTTAGGAATAGAAATGAACTTACTATAACCCACAAGTCAGATAATGGTGACCATGCTACTCTACAGAGTCTATTAAATTTAAATTCAACACACATACACCTAAAACATACATGTGCAAGTTTTAGTATTGTGCAGCACTGAGCTTCATGGCTTATAAAATAGTTCAATTTTCAAGGAATTTCCTGAAAGTTAAAGAAGACAGTTATCATTAACTTAACTTTACAACTGGAGAAACATAAGCTGATGAAATGACAAAAAGGTTGTTAAATTTATAGAGCTAATAATTAGGATTTCAATCCCAATATTCCAATTTCTAGAGATAATACTGTCTCATGTTTACTGGAAAACACACGGTGGTAACTGAGATTATTGTATTTGAAATCAGATGATACAGATCTCAGCTATCTGTACTTCCTGTCATGGGACAGTGATCTCTCTAAATCTCAGTCACCACATCTATAAAATGGAGATACACTTATCTCAGAGGGTTGCTTTTTTGGGAATGAAATTCAATATGTTAATATGGGTGAAATGCTTGGATATTTGCTGGCACACCCTAAGGACCCAAAAAATAAAGCTGTTACTTTAATAAACTAAAGCAGAGATGTTAGAAAGCTTAATCCTTTTTAAAATCTGAATGCCTAGTGTTGGATGAGAAACCCTTGTGGCCAGCTCCACCTTGTGAGGTCTGCTGACACACAGTGTCCAGGAAAGAGAACTGGAAGCCTGGAGTGAAATGTGATTTCTTTGCATGGACGTTCATTCCTGTTCTCCATAGTTGTCTGACCTACTGGAAAGATAGATTACTTCTCC